GTTCTGGAGGTACAGCATACTAACGCAGTATTCCTGCCAAGAAAATGTTTAACGTGAATGAGATCATGGAAACAAATTTGAAATTTTAAAAAGTGTGCAAAATAACTGATGTGGACTTTTCAAAAATGTGGATGTCAGRGCTGGAGGTGTATAGGTCAGTGGTAGGGCATGTGCTTAGCACGGGGAGGCTGCAGATTCAATCCCTGGTGCCAGTAACAACCACAAACYCAAATAAAAATTCCCAAACACAAATGTCGTAGACATGTAGAATAACCTAGGTGATATATGTGTGTTCATTGATTTCTGTTGTAATTCCTCTGAATGGCTGAAATGAATCCTTGAAATGTTGGGGAAAATAAAACTTAAATTGTTAGATTGATTTTTTTTTTTTTTTTTTTTTTTTTTTAAAGAGAGAGTGAGAGAGAGAGAGAGAGAATTTTAACATTTTATTTCTTAGTTTTCGGCAGACACAACATCTTTGTTGGTATGTGGTGCTGAGGATCTAACCCGGGCCGCGTGCATGCTAGACGGGCGCTACCGCTTGAGCCACATCCCCAGCCCTGTTAGATTGATTTTATTTTGTAAATTTTTAAGTAATGGTTTTTAAAGTTGCATMTAAAACATTTGTTTCAGAAAACCCATCCTCTCAATATTGGAAAGAAGTGGCAGAAAAACGGAGAAAAGCTCTCTATGAAGCACTTAAGGAAAACGAGAAAGTATGTGCTGAGTATGATTTTTTTAATTTTCCAGGATTGTTTACCTTTTGCTGTGTAGCACATTTATTGGGACCAACATAARCTAGCTTTAATGTTGGCCTGAGAAAGTGTGACTAGAGAGGCAGCTGTGGTACCAGAATTGTCACACAAAATGAATCCTCTTGAGAACCAACTTTATGCTACACGTGTCTGTCAGTTTTACTTCGAGGCATATAATTTGTTTCACAGTAAATCTATGAAATATTGAACTTTATTTGAATTTTCACACAAAATGAATCTCTTGAACCAACTTTATGCTGCATGTGTCAGTTTTACTTGGAGGTATATAATTTGTTACACAGTAAATTTCTGAAATACTGAACTTTTATTTGTTATATAGCTTCATAAAGAAATCGAACAAAAGGACAATGAAATTGCCCAACTGAAAAAGGAGAATAAAGCATTGGCAGAAGTAGCAGAGCATGTACAGTATATGGCAGAGTTAATAGAGGTAGGTAMTTTAAAGTTCACCTGATCGAGAATCGTCTGTTTTCCTGAAGACTTAAAGCAATAGTGGGCTCAAGACGTCTTTGTCTCTCTTAACTGCCTTAAAGTATTCTTCCATGCTGGCTCCTGAGTACCAGTTTAAATTGTGCTTTTAAAGCAGTTCAGTCCACTTTGACACTGTTGGTGGTTTTGTAAATTAGTATAACCCCTGTAGAAATCAGTATCGAGGTTCYTCAAAAGACTAGGCRTGGAACCACAAGACCTAGCTGTCCCACTTGTTAGTATTTATCCCAGAGAACTARGAGCGGCACACTATAGCAACACAGCCACTTCAGTGTTTATAGCAGCACAATTCACAATAGTCAAATTATGAAATCAGCCCAGATGCCCTCCAGTAGATGAATGGATAAAGAAAATGTGGGTCTGTATACACAATGGAGTTTTATTCAGCTGTAAAGAAAAATGAAATTATGTCATCTTCAGGAAAATGGATGGAACCATTATGTTAAGCAAAAGAAGWCAAAATCAGAAAGTCAAAGGTTGGGTGAATATTTCCTGTCACATGGAAGCTATAGAGGAAGAAGGAAAAGAAAGGTGGGGTGACCGCATGAAAAGCAAATAGAGATTAGTAGAGCAGAGGAAAGGGGTCAGAGAGGGAGGGAGARGTGCTGGGAGGGATACTGGCCAAATTGTGGTATTATATTTTGTGCATGTACAAATATGGAACAATAAATATCCCACCATACGTACAACTGCATTGCACCAGTAAAAAAAAAAAAAAAAAATGTGGAGAAAGAAAAATATAGAAAAGAATAAAAAAAATATAACATTGAGGTCAGCTGTGTCAGCATACTGATAATGACTTGGAWTCTAAAGTTTTTATAGCAAATTACTGGTTTATTCCTTAGAGACTGAGTAATGAACCTCTGGATAACTTTGAATCACCGGATAGTCAGGAATTTGATTCAGAAGAGGAAACTGGTGAGATTTCTGAAGTAGAAGACTCAGAAACTTCTGGTGCATGTACTGAAGGAGCTGCACCTTCTTCTAYGGATGCAGAACCGAGAGATGATATTCAGTAACATTTGATTGTTGAGAAATATGCTGCCAAAGTTTACCTCACTATAGTTCTTTGTAGCAGAGTTACTACATAATTCAAAAGCTAGAATCAAACTTCCATGTTTGAATCCTGGGACACTATTATTGTATTAAATACAAATACTGTGTATTTTTAATCTATGATATTTTTTGTAATTAGCACATCATTTTCTCAGTTGTCAGATATGACCTGTGTATATATGATAAATAAACTTTGGTTTCCTATTGAATTTTGTATATGTCCGAAGATGATGTGTCTATAGAAAATGTCTSTTTCTATGTTTGCTTTCTTAGTGTAGTTTTGTGCTTGTGGTACTGGGGATCTAAGCCAGGGCTTTGCACATGCCAGGCACACGCTTTACCCTGAGCTACATCCCAGCCCTTTATATTCTTTGAGACAGAGTTTCATGAAGTTGCTGAGGCTGGCCTCAAACTTGCTATCCTCCTGCCTCGGCCTCCCATTTTGCTGGGATTGTAAGAGTGCACCACCATGCCCGGCTTATTGTTTGCTTTCTATTCTTCTGCCATCTTGGGAGAAAACAAATTTATCCCTGTATAAACAGATAACCGAGGTCTTAACTCCCAATCCTGATTGTACCTCAGGCTCATTGTAAGCACTATTGATTTCCACATCCAGACTCAGATATTCTTTTTTTTTTCCTCAATTAGCTATAAATGGACACAATACCTTTATCTATTTATCTTTATGTGGTGCAGAGAATRGAACCCAGTGCCCCACCTCTGCTGGGCAAGTAATCTACCACTGAGCCACAACCTCAGTACCTCAGATATTCTTAGTTTTGGAATGTAGCACGAGATATTTGTAGGGAAAAAAAATAGTGTTTTTGAAAAAAACAAATAGTATTTGTTTGCCAGGTGAATCTGACTAGCTGAGTAAAGGCTTGACTGGCTGGTGTGATCACTTTGCTCTTGGAATCAAAGTGTGTGCAGGGGGATCAGGTGAAAGTCCAGTGGAGTGASGAGAGTTTCACGTACTAGTATAGTGTGAAGTCTATAAATATGAAGAGGCGTGGGTTGATATTAATGATGAATTTTCCATGTATACCATTTTTTTGAATGAAGAAAAAATAAAGAACAGTATTAAATACACAGCATTGAAGCTGAAAGTAGTCTTGTATAAATTGACAATAAAGAGCAATGTCAAGCTTCAAATAATTGTTCTAGGTAAGTTTCCTTATAGGACTTATTTCCAATATTGAGTAAAGCATACCTCATAGTGTTATTGTGAGGAGTAAGACCTCTWTAATAGTGCTTGAACTAAGGGCTTAGACAATGGAAGCTATTAACAGAATTTCATCCAAGTRGAACTTTCTGGAATAGTAGGAGTATCTATGCTGTCCACTTTGGTAGCCAGTAGCTACTGACACTTGAAATGTGGTCAGTGAATAAGTGGAAGTTTTCATTTTATGTTTTAGCAGCTACATGAGGCCAGTGGTAGCTGGGTTAGGGTTACTGTGTGTTAGGTGTGGGCCACTAGCCAGAGACCACTAAAGTATAGAAAAACTACTTTTTTAAAATAAATTAAGATACTCTAGATAGGGTAAGGGTGAAAATGCTAAGATTGGCATAGCCTGGCTTAGGATACGRCTCTTGGGTTGATTGACAGTTTTCTTAAGATTCTGCACCATGGACAAGATGAAATTGGAAATGTTAACAGGAAAAATGGAACCTAGAGAGCCCCAAAGCAATGTCTACTGCCCTAAGGCCTTTTCAGCTTTGTCTAGAAAACTCCTTTGAAGATACCTCAGTTGAGTATTGGGTTTTCCTAATGGATCAACAACAAATGGGTGTGTTTAAATAACCTGTGCTGCAGTGTCCTCTGTGGGATGACTGAGGTGTGTGTGTGGCACATGGACCAGAATGGTTCCCCAGCAGGATCAAGCATTGCACTTCCCTGTAGTGGTAACTTTCTATTTTTTTTTTTT